ACGAACTGAATAACAAATATGGAGTAAGTGAAAAAAGTGTGGCACAAGGTTAATCAATAAAACATATTGAACTTAGGCTAGACGAATATTTTACCGACGAACAAGAATTGGCTGCAGAGACTTAGTGGATTAGGGCAAAGAATTGTAAGAAGAGACGAATGGATACATCACTTTCTCGCCCATAAATCAGTCCAAAGGTCCAAGGAAATTACCAACAAAAAAATAAAAAGGTATACCTGCCGCCTCCAATAATTATTGTAGATGGAGTTAAAAACTTTAATAATTTCCTTCAAATTAAATCTAACAAAACGATTAATTTTCAAATAAAATCATTAATGACAAACATATCAAGGTAAATGATCCAGATGGAAAGTGTTACCAAGCTCTCACAAAGGCATTAAGTGACGAAAATTATTCAGGGTACTTTTTCGAAAATAAATAAAATCGCCCTATTAAGGTAATGGCTACCAAATTTCACCAGTCCTGTGAAATTGTATGTTAAGCATTTACCCATGTTTCATATGAATAAAATACCTGTTTATGCTGATTCCTTGCGTTCGCTATTTTCCTTAAATAGTCATGTCTCCACGCAATGATTTCGTGTTTCTATGTTAAAAGGCTGTTTCTGTCACGTTTTTTGTAACGCAAATTTAATTCATGTAATATTTTTTGCAAATGAAAATGTGATAGGTATATTTGGAAGAGTGGGATATTTTCTATTTTTGAGTGTAATTTTTTAAGTGAAGGTATTTTCATTTTAAAAGAAAAAAGAATGTACCATTTGCCTTATTAAATTCTTTACCCAAGTTTTAATTGTTCTTTCCTGGGGGCTTTTTCGGATGTGAGACTTCTCTTTAATAATGTTATATACTGTCCGCTTAAATACTCCAGTATAGGTTTCACATTTTGTGACTATGTCATCCACAGAAAGTAAAACAAAGTTTTTTTGAAGATTATTAAATACATTAAGTATGATATTATTTTCTTCTAAAGATAATGCGCTTTATGTCCACTAGGTCGTTTACGCGTACTTGTTCTTGCAATATTTTTAATGCACTCGCCGTTCTTATATAACTGTAAAATTATAATATATACTAGTACAAAATTCCGAATCAATTATAATACGATATTGCTATTAATAAATAAAGTCTGACTTATCTGTTAACACAAAAAAGTTTATTACACTATGGAAACATTATTAAATCAAAAGAAAAACTTTTATTAGGCCGATAAAGTGTATTAAAATTTTAAATTAAACTACAAATAAGCATTGAAGGATGAGGTATACATAAAACGAGGGGAGAACAACTCTTTGTAAAAATGTACATGTATTGTAGAATTCACATGATTTCCGCAATCACATGGCGATTTCTGGATGGCTGCGGTGATTTCCATGTGACTTTTATAGATTTCTAGTTAAAGCGGTGATTTCCACATGACTTCAATAGATTTCTCGGGACTGCCCTGATTTATGTATTGACTGCGGCGATTTCCGTATGAATTGCCAGTATTTTTCCAAAATTGCAGGTATTTCTGACGGATTTCTGCGACAATGTATGGCTTTCCAGTTGGTTTCCAGTAAAAAACATTAGCTGGGTGTTATATCAGGAGAACTCAATTTTGTATGTCCTATACAAAATTATGGTATGGATCATATAAGAAGAAGAAAAACTAAAGATTGAATAAGACGTAAAAAAACGGGAAAATTGTTTTATTGAATTAACTTTATTTTAAATAAGTTACAATTCTGTCAAACTAATTGTCGGTATATTTTATAGTTATAGAGATTAAATGTAACTAAAAATTAATGATTCTTGAGAAGAATCCAAAAATAAAAGCATTTTACAAGATATTCGAGTATATTTACAAATATATCGTAAATTTAAAAAATATTTTTTTTTTGTTTTTTAAAGTTTATTTTATTTAATAAAAATAATAAAAGTCATCAATTATTTTTAAAATAGTCATCTTATCTTAAGTATCTCTAAATCATTTTTATAAATTTACTTTAATGGGCCCTAAAAAAGGGAGGAATGTGTGTGTTTTTTATTTCTATAGTTTTTGTGTGCTATTTTTGCAAAAAATAATTCTTTCTTCTTTTTTACATAAAAATCTGATGTATCCAACACATGATTGTCTAGTTCTTGCAAGCTTTTTCTGGTTATTTTGTACACCTCTGTAAATGTTTAGAGATTTTACATACACATCTTATTCCAAACATTTCTTATATGTATTTATTGCTAACGAAAATACAAAAAATTAAATTAAATGATATCAGAAATTTGTTGAACTGTGCCAAAAAAGGCATTTTATGATTAATAATAATTGATGGAACGACACTTTCGATAAACGTAAACTGCAACTTGTTTAATTTTACACAAGATGGCTTAGATGGTCTAGTCAAAGCACCTACATCGAAAATGGCCAATAGGTAAAATATCAACTGACTGCGCGCGATTTTTAACGATTGCTAGTGATTGTTCAGCAACGGCGGGAGATTTCGGGAAGACTGCGAGGGAATTCTAAACGACTGCGACGATTTTTTAGTGATTGCCACTGATTTTGACGGGACTGCTGCAATTTTCAATGGGATTTCGGACATTTTGTATATGTATTGCGGGAGTCATTCGCCCATCGACATAAAACGTTTACCTCTTGAATCTGTACTACGTTCTGCAAATTAAATTACTGCACTCTTTTCTTCGCTAGACTATACCCCATCTCATAATATTATCACCAGAACCAGTCTTTTTGTAGATAAACTATTATAGTTCTAATAATGTTTTATTTAAATGTCTCAAATTATACGGATAAAACTGAAACAGTTAATAGATTTTATAATTTTAAGCAAACAACTTCATATTAACACATAACACATAAACATTGATCAAAGTTCGATCAAAAGGCAAGAGATGTAAAAGCTAGATAACTAATTAAAAAAAAAACACACAAAAAAAATTAAATTTCACCAGTGGCGTGCGATTGAAAATATATTATTTTTATCAATTTTAAACTACCAGTAACTTTGCTACTGATCAAAATCTGAATTTTGTTAATATAAACTATTCTGCTTAAAATTATATTTATAATCTTTATCTGTTTTATATAATTTATATAGCTCTGAAATAGGGATCTCAAATAAATTTGTAACTTTATAGTTAATTTATTAGAATAACTTTTTGGCTGGATGCTCATGCAGAACAAGACCAAAAAAAGAAGAATAAGTAAGCTTTTAATGGCTAGGCAGTAAAAATTATTTTTAATGCTTCGGCAGTAAAAGTGTTACTTCTATAATCGAGAAATGTCACTATTTTATAATATCCAGTAGTAATAATAACTTTTATATTGACTTCTAATTATTGCCAATATAACTTTCAAATATCTCAAAATTTTCTTTTCAAATACTTTTTTAGAGTACTTAATTCTAAACCAGGACTTTACTGAGACACCCTGTGTAACAAGTATTTTTTTTTGAACTTTGTAAATATGTTTTAATATGTACTACTCATATTATTTTTGGATAACGATCAGCTGCATTAACGATTATCCTACAGTTTGATAAGAATGTTAAATGTAAAAATAAAATTAAGATTCCACTGGATTTTGCTTATTCTTTTATTTTAAATTTATTTTTCTACGTTCATGCAAAAAACAAAACTTTATTGAACTATATTTAGTGAAAAAATTGGTTCTTTATTGCACTAGTGCAATAAAAATTTTATTGCACTCATCTATCATTTTACTACAGCGTTTTATGATCATGACAAACATAAATATTCAAATCAACGCTAAATATTTAGTCCATTTTCATATTCTATGTTACATTTTAAAAATAATTGCATATTTTATATTATTTTCAATCATTTAATAAATAAATTATTAAAAAAATATATTTTATTAAAAATGTTATTACAAATTATGAACATAAACGTAAATAAATGCCTCAAACAAAGGTACACGATCACTGCTACTATGATTTGGATAATACAACTGCAGTTCTATAAAACATTTTTTGGTTTTTGCATGAACGTAGAAAAAATATTGTATGCAATTCGTGCAAAAAGTGTTTATTGCACTCGACGTGTTGTCGCGTGCAATAAACACTTACTTTTTGCACTTGTTGCATAAATAACTATTAACGTGCTCTAATATGCCAAAATAATTATTTCAACATCATTCATTTTTATAAAATCAGTACGTAAAAAGCAATAATTTAAAGATCTGCGGAAAATGGGAAAAGTGGAGTGAAATATCTTCCTATCTATTATGCTAATAACCTATACATTAAATTTTTTAGATTTGTATGGCCATTATATCCACTTTTTAAATTATTTCCACAGAGCAACTATTCAGAACATTCTAGAAATTAAGTTACTAGTTCCGCTTCTTGTAGAACTTAAAATAAATTAATGATTATTTTAGGATAAGAATTTTATCAATGGAAATAAAACTAATTAACTCAAGAAAAATAAAAAACTAAGAAAAATTTTAATTTTAATGTTTACAAAATCGCACAATTCAAAACATTTATTGTCGATAAAATTTATTTAATTTTGAGGTGAAATATATGGGCGCTAAATTAGAATTATTCAAATATCTGTCAAAGAAGTAAACTTTTTTTATACAAAAATAATAAGTTTTTCCATATTGGATAAATTAAGTTGTAAATTAATAAGTGACAAAAAGTTTATAGTTGATTTCTTCTGTTCAGTCTACTAGCATATTATTATTTATAGCTACAAAAATAGCCCAATTTCAATTTTCGGGATTGAATCAAGAAAAATTACTGATTTGTTGAAAAACAATAATTTTTTTAACTTTAACACTCTGTAGCTCAGGAAAAAGAAATCTTAGACCAATTATTATTTTTGTTTTTTAAACATACATTTCCAATTTGGCCCATTACTTATGTCCATCATGAAATCGGTTTTTCGTAATATCCATATTTTACGTGACTCTGACTCTGAATAAAAAAAAAAATATATTATTTATGTTCTTACCTTTTCGTTTCAAATATATATGTCGGTCGTTTCATCACTAAAAGCCTTGGTAAAATATGTATGAAAACCCTCTTCACCCACGGTGACATTCGATGCGTTTGAGGCGATCGGAAATGAACGTTGAGCACCACTACAGTTACGCAAATGCTGAAAAAAAAATGAAAGAATATTAAAGTACTCTATAATATGGATAATAATTATTACAATAAATGACATAGAGAAATACAATTCGCACAATGTATAAAAGCTGAAACTTATACTACAAAAAAATCCAAAAGCAACTTGGGTTAATTGCTGCTGTTCAAAGATCTGACCTATATAAACTCAAGAAAGAGATAATTGTAAGTAATAACGTAGGTAATAAAAAAATATTAAATATGATAGAGATATAACTAAATTTTCCTTTGATTTATGTAGGATATAATTTTTTTAACGTTTTAGAAATATTATAAAAAAATAGATGAGCAACAGGGCCCGGTGCCGGTAATTTTAAAAGTCACCGCTAGATGGCGCCACCTGTCAGTGTTGGAAATTGATACTTGGAGAAGTAGTTTGCGACTTCGCTAAGCGATCCAAGCAATGCGCAGTGGTAATTCCAAAAGGACCTAAATCTTTTGATCCGATTTACATAAAACAAACGGCGTTCTAAAAGAGACACAAAATAGATTAAGGTTGAAGAGAAAAATAATGTTCAATGACAGGGTCAAAAAGGCATAGGTCTGTATCACCGTTGTTATTGATCCGATTTAAACGAAACAAACGGCGTTGTGAAAGAGACACAACATAGATTAATTTTAGTTTTTGATTACGCAACAGATAGGATCGTGGTTAAATATTTGCTTTAAATACATAACATTAAAACGTATACATAAATACACTGTTGAAAGAAATGTATCTATCAACATTTTTCATTTTTCATCATTAAATTAATATTTTGTTATTGTAATGACGTTATGTGTTGTAAATTATTTATGAAAAAATTGGGATATGTTAATTTTTGAAATAAAAATAGTATACGGCAGCATGATTATGAATTACGGTTCATTTTTTATTTTGCATGTATTTTAAACCTACTTTTATTGATTTCTCGTGGTAATAAATGACTATTAACGTAGATGATATTAAATACGTTCTATCGTTTTATTCCATATATCACACGTCCGTATCCCTTACGTTTCTGATTAAAATCGTAGGTCGTAGATTCAATATTAGCATGTAGTATCACATTACATATTTAAAAATTATAAGAATCAGCGACATACATTCAAAAATGTTACCATACGGCACACTAAATGACATAAACATTATTAGCATGTTACATAACAGTACCCTCTAAAATTTGAATAAAATCCGACCAGTATCAACGTAGACGTTAATGCCTTGTTTACAATGCTATATCGCATCATTTTTCTCTTCAATTTTAATTTATCTCATGTCGCCTTAATAGTGCCGTTTTTTCTGTTTGAATTAGACTAAAGATTTTTTATACTTGCAAAAAACTAAGATGTATTCTCTATAAGTTTAAATATTTTACAATTTTAAATATTAACCAGCTTAAAATCCTCTATTATGCACTGGTTGAGAGTCACCTCAGATATGGTCTTCTTATTTGGGGTAATGCACTGAAAACTCAACTTCATCTATCAGAGAAATAAGTATAGTTAGGCCTATGAGATGACGTACTAACAAAGTTTAAAATTTAAAAATTTATTTTTTATTTATTTATAAACTTATAACGTATATATAAAATGCAATATCATGAATTCTCAACTATGTAAAAGAGCACAATTTAAAACTGAAACACCGTCAATTTACAAGATCTCTACACAAGATTTTTTCTTACTAAAGATCAGATAATATAACATGCTACAAATGCAATAAACCTGGACACACTACTAAAGTTTGCCAAAGTTCCGATAAGAGAAGGTGCAATTTTTGACAACTCAATGGCCACTTAGATGCAGATTGTTTTTCTAAGAAAAAGACACAGAGAACAAAACCAACCATCTGACTAGTAACTGAAGAATAAAATCAAAAGTTTTATAAAATAATTCAGAATAATGACATTTAATCTTTAGCTTACGTTAATTTGGGTAGTTCCTGTAGTATCATTCGTATACCCAAAGTTAAACGAATTACCTATTGACATATCTTGTACTACTTTGTTTCATGGTTATGGCAATGGAAGGGTGTTTACACTAGGAGCTGTCAATTTTACAATTACTGTAGATGAGGTTCATGAAGCAATTACCGCTAAAGATGTTTCAATTTTATTAGGAAAAAACTTCACTGAGAGACTAGTACATTGGTAATTAAAGATAAAGCGTGATTACAGCTTTTCAAACAATTACAAGAGCCACAATTACTTTCTACAAAAGCCCCAAGGAAAACCCAAAGTTATCTTATACATAACTGAGACTTTTAAAGTGTTACCAAGCCATTGGGGAAATGTACCCGAGTATAGTAAAGGATTTGAAGGAGATGTATTTATCGAAGCTAGCTTCGGGTCTCCAGAAAATAACTACTATTTTATCCCTAATACCATAATATCACTTAAGAAATATATAAGTATTAGTTTTAAGAAAGGTACAATTTTTGCAAGAGCATGGCCCTGTGTCAAAGAAGAAGAAACTCACGAGAAAATAATGTACATTAACGAAAAAGAAATATCACCATTACCGTTAGAAGATGTGTAGATTAGCCCAATCGAAGAGGCACAAAAACTTTAAATGTCTACCTTTTTAAATGAATTCAGAGATTGTTTTGTTCTGGATACAAGTGAACTTGGTTATGCAAGATCAGCAATCATTAAAATTACATTTAACGACAACAAATCTTTTACATACAGACCATACAGAATGTTTAAACTAGAACAGAACGTAGTCAACGAAATTGTAGACGACCTGCTACTAAACAAAATAATACAAGAAAGCTTACGAAAATTTAGAAGCTCTATTTTAGGTATTTCATTTACTGTAAAAACCGAATGTTATTAATTAAAGGCTACAAGTCACAAGAAGCAGTTAATACCTAGAATCGCAAGATGGTGGTTAGAACTACAAGAATATAAGTCCAATATAGACCCGGAAATAATATGAATCACGTGAACGCATTAATTTGAAATCCTAATATATCTACACCAATTGAATGTGAATCTATTTTTTGAATAGAAGAAGCAGATTAAATTTTATCTGGACAATTGACAGACGATAAAACAAAAGAAATACATCAAATATTATCTAAACCGCCAGTATTTGAATACGAAAAGCATATTTACAAGAAATACTGTTAACGAGATGAACGATTATATTGGATTACTGCACGAGGTATATTATGGGTAGTTTCACGAGAAATGAGACAGAGTGATAAAGGCAACTCACGAGGATTTCGGATATTTTGGTGTGGAAATAACACTACATCGTTTGTGTGAGAAGTATTGGGTTCCAAGAATGCGCAAATATATTTCTTGTTCCAATCCATACTTTTACAACAAGCGTTATTCTAAAAAGAAAGAAAAAGTTTTGCATTCTATTCCAAAAGGCATCCAACCTCTCTCTACTTTTCATTTTAACCACCTAGGACCGTTTCCAAAATCCAAGAAAAATAACATCCATCTGATAGTTGGCATTGATGCTCCTACAAAATTTATTTTTCTACGAGCAGTTCTGCCAAGACCACACATGTCATAGAATATTTTAAAGATATTTTTCCAACTTATAGAACACCGAAAAACTTAATATCAGACAAAGGTAGTTGTTTTACATCAAAACATTTCAAGTCATTTTGCAAACAAAATATTATTCGACACATTGTTAATGCAGTAGCCACACCTAGAGCAAGTATACAGATAGAAAGATTAAATCGCATAATACTAGCATCACTATTAACATCAACTCCGGAGAAAGATTTATGGGATCAGTACGGTAGATCTGTACAATTTGCGATTAACAATGTACCTAAAAAGTTTACAGGCAAAACACCTAGTCAGCTAATGTTTGGTTATATACCACGAGGTGGAGATGATCCTCTATTTAAAAACGAAATACAACAAATTATAGAATTAATTGAAGACCTAATTAATAGCCAAAAGGAAGCTTCCGAGAAGATAATTGCAAGCCAGTCAAGACAAAAAGCCAATTTTGATAAAAGACGTAAGAAGGCTAAGATATACAATGAAGGTGATCTAGTAGTCATCTTAAAGCAAACACCAGCATCTAGTATTGCCAAATAACCGTTACATTGTCAAAGATATGACAGGGTCGCATCGTACGTTAAGTTCATTTAAATATGAGAAGACGATTGCAGTAGATAATATCAGAGCTTAGGTCCACCTAGAGGAGTTTCTGATGACACTGGAAGTGAAAGCGAGGGAGATGGAGTTGTTCTTCTTTTCGAAGAAGAGGAAGCAACCGTAGAGTAGGATATGTATCTCGAGATAAGACATGTGCAGGATGTCCTACTCTAAGAATGATTTTCTTTTCTATACTTTATTTTAAGAAAAACTAGGTTTTTAGATGCACGAAATATGTGTCTTCCAAGACAGTCACAGCCTATGTATATGTTAACACTATTACGATACAGAGGTATCGGATTATGAATAACCGAACTAAGGGAAACATCTCAAGGAGACATTGATTAAATAACTAAATATTTTCGCCCAAGTTTATAATAGATATTTTTAAATTAAAATATCTTCTTATAAATTATCTAAAGATTCTTCAACTTCTCTGGAATTTTATTAGTAAATCGTATTCGTTAAAAACGCTTTCTTTAGAAATATTAACAAAAAGATTGATAGTATTAATTCTGGGTACGCGGTCAAGAATTCAATCCATTTCAAAAACTGAACTTAAAAATATAATATACTAAGATTAAGAAGTTAAAATATATAATTCGCAATTATTGTAGGGGATTTTAGTATCCCTAATTATTAAAAGTCATAACCAACTTCTAACTATAGTTTTATTAAAAACTAAAACACATTATATTAAACTGAATAACAAAAAAACATAACAATGCGCTCTTCTCGAGAATCAATAACTAACACTTTTCGAGCTTTGGTTCTACAAACACTAATACGTCTTTTTGACAAATGACATCATTTTTTTCATGTGTCGGTACGCTGTTTTGTTTGAGACTTTTTAATT